GACAGTACTAAGGAGAAGTAAATTCTCCATTGAACCCCCCTCCTCGAATACTGAACGAACACTGATGCATCTATTATTGTTTATAAAATCCCCCAAATAGAACTGGTTTCAATATGTACACAAAGTATACAAAACAGCAATTGACTTTCCTTGCCTTACATTCATTGATATTTATCATCTATCTATCTATCTATCTAAGAAGAAAACTTTTAAATCTCCTAAACAGATTCTATTTAGACAATTTTACTAGATTTATCCATATATTTATTATCTATCAATCTAAGAAAAAAAATTTAAATCTCCTGAACAGTTTTTATTTTGACAATTTTACTAGATTTAACCATATATTTATCATCTATCTATCAAAGAAGAAAACTTCTAAATCTCCTAAACAGGTTTTATTTAGACAATTTACTAGATTTAACCATATATTTATCATTATCTATCAAAGAAGAAAACTTTTAAATCTCCTAAACAGATTTTATTTAGACAACTTTACTAGATTTAACCAGTAATATATTTATCTATCTATCTATCTAAGAAGAAAAATCGAAATCTCCTAAACAGGTTTTACTTAGACAACTTGACTAGATTTAACCATATATTTATCAATTTATCCATCTTAGAAGAAAACTTATAAATCTCCTAAACAGATTCTATTTAGACAACTTTACTAGATTTAATCAGTAATATATTTATCTATCTATCTATCTAAGAAGAAAACTCTAAATCTCCTGAACCGGTTTTACTTAGACAACTTGACTAGATTTTACCATATATTTATCTATCTATCTTTTTCTCTATTTATCTATCTATTTATCTATCTAGACTCCTATAACCGAAGAGAACCTGCCTGAGAACCAGAGAACTATCAACCTGGTTTTGAGGATGCGAAACCAGAAGAGAGAACTCAATGATATCAGATTTGAGTTCCAACCAACCAAAGTAACATATTCCTTAGTTTTAAAATCACTGGAATGTTCGTAAATAATCCTGGGGAGGTGGAATTCAAGGAACGACGGACAATTCCAATTTTTAAGATTCTGTTACAGTTGTCATTACATTTTCATTTCATTTGTTATCTACATATTTAAGTTGCCTAAAACAATAAAAAAATGAGAGCGTTATGGTCGAAAACATGAGCAAATGGTGAAAATGACATATTGTGTCAATAAAAGATCTAAAATTATAAAGTATCGTTAAACTCATTTTTTTCACCTGCTCCGCGCCTCAGAGCAGATACATTAATACACAACTAAATATATTCACCCTCCCTTCACAAAAAACAACGTAAATAGTCCCTGGAAGGAACCGTAAACGTATAAAAGTGACCCGTCATGCAAAGAGAATAACAACCGATTCTTAACAATTGGGGATTTCAAGTTGACTTGCTTGCACATTTCAACTGCAGGAAAATATAAAGAAACTATTAGAACTAAAGACTTATTTATTTATACCAAGAAAAAGAACTACATCTTCCACATTATTGGTCAGAAAAAGATTTCAAGACTACCGTTGTGGATCGGGCATTGCCATTGTTGCATGAAGGGTCACCTGACATTACACTTACAGTCCGTTTACAAAAGTTGCATTATCAAGGATTCTGTATAGCTATTCTCTAGGATTCTGCTGAGGATATAGCTAATGAATTATTATCCAGGATTCTGCTGAGGGTATAGGTAATGAATTATTATCCAGGATTCTGCTGAGGGTATAGATAATGAATTATTATCCAGGATTCTGCTGAGGGTATAGATAATGAATTATTATCCAGGATTCTGCTGAGGGTATAGCCAATGAATTATTATCTGCTGGACTTATTATGGGAGATGATCTAGTTGCTATGGCAGGTATAATTAGTGTTAGGTTCTTTTTTTTTGCATATATTGTTTTTAGGGTCAAAATCGGGCATAGTTTGAAAATGTTGACTTTAAAAGAAGATATATGTAAAAAAAGAACCAAAACCGATCCAAAAAACGATGTTGAAACTAACGTCTTTTAACTATCGTTTTTCCATTTTTCAGGAAAAAGATCTAGCAAAGTTTAACAGAAAACAGTTTTAAATGATTTATTATTTTTATTTTTAAACTAATAAAAACGATTATAAAATCCCTAGGTATTATTCATTTGGTTTTAGTTTATTTTGATCATCAATTGTATCAACTAACTTATTAAATAATTGATGAAAAGATTCACGGCGGCTGAAACACATCACCTTTTTTCTTTCCTTTTTAATCTTATATTTTGTTTAATAATTGGATTAATGAACTTAGCGATAGCGGATTGATTAAGTTAATTTATAACTTGTTATTTTATTAATTCAATTGATTGAATTCATTAAGAACTGTTTAATAACAGTTAAACGGATTGATTGATTGACAAAATGATGATTGTATGATAGTACGAAATTGATAGATTTTAAAATTGATTGATTGATTTATAATTAGCTAACCTGGATAAGCTGGTGACCGCTCCCCCTGTCAACAAGAATGTCACCTTCAGGATCTCGGCCGGGATAAATTCGTCTGAAACGCCGGACGAAAAGGCCTTGTTAGGTAAGTGCATTTTGCAATTTATTATTTTCTTGTTCTTATTTTGAACATATTTTCTGCAACATTGAATTATTGTTTAAGTCTCAGTACTAAGGATACTTTAATTTTGATGTGGATGTGGATCTGGATCCTGGTTTTAAATAATTCTTCAATATTTATTGATTTGTTTAGTAAATAAAAAATTTCTCACAATGGTATGCTCAATTTCATACTGAAATTTTATGCAGTCAAAGGTTAGAAATTTTTTTATTTTCTCATTTTGAGAGCAACAAGACTTTTTTCAGCAAGTTTTGGTTAATTTGGTTAATTTGTTTAATTTGGTTAAATTGGTTGATTTGGTTAATTTGTTTAATTTGTTTAATTTGGTTAATTTGGTTAATTTTATATCCAGCTTTTAAACAGCATGGATACACAAAAACATAAAATTAAACAAGTTTAACTAAAATTTCTAGTAGCTTTGTTCTTCAAAAAAGCTTCTTAACAATACAAACTTAAATAAAAAGTAGTCTTTATTTTATTAATATAATCGCCTACCAACATATAGTCATACTATACTGAAGAAAATAAAACAATGAATGCATTATATTTAGACAAATTTATTCAAAAAATAAACTGAGCTTTTTGCTTAAAATTTCTTACACAATTGGTTTTGTGTTTTTCCTTGAGCTGAGAGTTCAAAACTCTTAAACGTTGAAAAAAGCGTATTTTAACAAAAAGGTCCACTACGAGTTTTGGCCAGGTCTGGTCTATCTTCAGAATGGCATCTGTAGTTCTCCCCATAGGATCTGGTTGCCAACATATATTTTCGCCGTGTAACCTGACAAAAACTTCTTCATAATGGTGAATACTTTTCACAAGCTCCTTGCTTGGGAAATACAGTGATCCCCGGTTTTTAAGATTAATCCAGCTACTGGTTGTGGTTTCAGATATGAGGCCTTCAATTTTGTTACNCACCCAAAAAATTGGAAGATTTGAACCAAAAATGAAGGCAGGGCCCCCCCCCCTACATCAAATGTGCCAACTCCACCATCCCCTTTTGCCACTTGGATCCGGATCGTAAGCACTGCACTGGTTCACCTTACTTAGTTTCCTATTAAGTCTAAATCCCAGAAAAATAATTTTAACAAATTTTATTTTCTAGGTTTTGCCCAATTGAGTATATCTGATTGATTTGCCATATCGGTGAGAACGATTGATTTGACCGTGATCAATTAGAACACAAGAGATTAGAAGAAATATCCGATTTGAAAACTAGTGGACTACTTTCCTAGGTTTTTTTTTTTGGCTGGGGTTTTGATGCTTTCAGGAGGCTCAAAAAAATGAATTGTAACATATTTAAAAATTTTATTAAAAGTTTGTGCGTAAGATATAGATAAAGATGAGGAAATTCAAGCCAATTTAAAAAATAATATCACAAAGGGTTTGAAAGAAAGATGCCATCTCACTACCACCATTTACAAATATTAGCACTATTCCCTTATTATATACAGTGAGACCCATTAAACTATGGAATACGAAGACGATTTAAGTTTTGGTTTCAAATAGTAAAATAAATAAAAAATCACACCAATTTTGCATTTTACATTGATCCATTTCACTTGATATCAACTTCTAATACACAAAAAAATTTGTGGTTCCATTGTATATGATAAAACCCCAGTTTAATATGTAATAAATAAATGTAATTTCTTTATTATCATTGTTAACTCGGTCATAGAAAAACCCTATTTCTTGTTGAGAGTTAAGATGTTGGAATAATTAGCTTGGTCCAATAGAAAGCCTTCATTTTATGGTCAAAGTCAACAAACCTTCTTTTTTTATGTTATTATATTTTTGTTTATTGATTGTTGATTTTATATAAACCTAATTTCAACGATAATCTTGTTATTTTCTCCCAATTTCAATAAAAACAAATTAAATTTTTAGATATATATAAAATGTGATAAGCCATTATTAAAATTGTCAAATTAAATTTTTACATTTTTTTAAACACAAAATTATAGAATTGGTTTTCATTGTTTACATTTTCTTGATGCAAAATACCCTTGAGATGCAATGGAGAGGGGGGAGGGATCTGCTTTCAACTGAACACTGAACAGTATTTTTCAAGGCACAGTATGTTTACTTGTGTACAGTACATGGTTTTTTAATTTTGTACATCAATCTTGTACACTGTACACTGTACAATGTACATAAATCATCACTTAGGTTTCATCATTTGACCCGGATCTTGATTTTTGTCAACTAATTTGTGAGAATTAGAAGTAAATATATCCCTCAAGCCTTTTAACCTTGCAAAATAGATACTATTAAAAGAGGTACAATACAGTTTATTAATGAAAGGGTCTGAGGGTCTGAAAGGCTCCCCTCCCTTCAGCAAGTTTTGGTTTTTCAAATAAACTCGTTCTACTGCGAAGAAAATAACTTTGTTATTGCGCTACTCAAACTTGAAATCTTAAATACATCACTGAAAATTCATCAAATCAATTTTCAGTTTAACATATGTGTTTTTTGAAATGTCTTTAACAAATTTTCAAGGTTACTGCTACATCAAAACTAAAAGCAACGTTAAAAGGTTACGAATTTACCCTTTGAACATTGTTTAAGGGTTGTGAATTTACCCTTTGAACATCGTTTAAGGGTTACAATTTACCCTTTAAACATCGTTAAAGGGTTGTGAATTTACCATTTAAACATTGTTTAAGGGTTGTGAATTTACCATTTAAACATTGTTTAAGGGTTACGAGTTAGCCATTCAAACATTGTTTTAGGGTTACACTTAACTCTCAAAGGGAGTGTTCGCGAAAAATGAAAGGGGGTATAGTCTTAATGCGATAAAAAAGCGCTTTTGATCGCTACTAATCTTACTTCTATCTGTTCCGTCTATAAGGAGAAAATTGATAAAGACGTCTCATACCGAAGAGCGTACGATTTAGACCGTAAAAAAATCAAATTAATATCAAACAAATCATTCAGATATTACAACCTATAGTCATCGATCATCTTTCGCCACATTTGTATATATTTAATATTTCATACAAGTTTTGATTTTTTTTAAAAAATAATATTTAGCTTACAACTTGTTTTCGAACATTCCTGGAAAATATGAAAATGTCGTCTTCATTACCAAAAATCCTCGAAAAGGAATAAACTTTTTTATAAGTAACTTTCAACTCATAACAATTAAAACATATTATGAATAATCAACTATATACAAATGTGGCGAAAGATAATCGATGACTATAGGTTGTAATATCTGAATGATTTGTTTTAAATTAAATTGATTTTTTTACGGTCTAACTCGTATGTTGCATCTTTCTCAATTTGTATGGACGCCATGTTATTCGGTATGAGACGTCTTTAACAATTTCCTCCTTATAGACGCAACAGATAGAAGTAAGATTAGTGGCGATCAAAAGCGCTTTTTTATCGCATTAAGCTTATACTCCCTTTCATTTTTCGCGAACACTCCCTTTAAACATTTTAACAGTTACGAATTTACCATTTAAACATTGTTTAAGGGTTACAATTTACCCACAAACATTGATTGTGGTACAATTCACTCTTAAACATTGTTTGAAGTTCAAAATTTACTCTTAGACATTGTTTAAAGATTACAGTTTACTTTTAAATGTTGTACATTGGTTTCAATTTACTTTTAAACATTGTTTGTGAAACAATTTACTTTTAAGCATAGTTTGAAGGTTACAATTTACAATTATATACTCTGAAACATTGTTTGTGGTACAATTTACTCTTAAACATTGTGTGAAGTTTAAAATTTACTCTTAGACATTGTTTAAAGTTACAATTTATTCTTAAGCACTGTTCAAAGGTTTCATGTTTCCCTTAGACATTGATTAAAGGTTAAGGTTTGAAGATTACAATTTACCTTTAAACATTGTTGTTAAATATTGTCGAAGGGTTTCAATAGTTCCTAACTAAGAGTGGAAGAAAGTAAGAAAGTATTAATGAAATACATGCTTAAGCTTTTTATAAAAAGAAAAAATAATTTGTTTAAATTTAGCCATTTGTAGACATATCGTGATTATTTATTCCTGTAAATAATGTGTTCCCTTGTGTGCACAGGGTGCCCCAAAAAAACACAAGAAAGACTTTAAACAAAAATTTCTAATTGTTAAAAGGACTGTCGTCATGTTAAGTGACCTTACATTTGAACAGAGTTTTGTCCCATTTACATTTTACAAAATCATTTATCTGATCAAAAATACTTCTCTGGCTTGAAATATTGGTTAGTTTTTCGTTTTCTGAAGAAGAAATCTGCAAGTCAAAGAGAAGCTACTATTGAAAATAGTCAATTTTCAAAGGGTAAATGCTGTTTATCTTCCGCATTCTTGACCAGACAAAGATTCTATGGTTATTGTTGTAAAATATAAAAGTCACATGAAATTATGTCTACAGTTGATTCCTTCATGTTTTTGGGAGAACCCTGTGCACAAATTAATATGTTCCAACTTTAGTAAATATGTATAATTAAAATGTGATGCGTCCAGGCTACATTGAACTCTGTTTGATCCTATTTATAAATAATGTATAAATTATATATTATTATTAAGCCCTGTTTAAAGAAACAAAAAATGTGAATATTTAAATAAACAACATCATATTTCAATTTAAAACCACAAAAATGTGCAGCAATATCTTAAAATTTTAAATTGCTCTTCCCTGAAATTAATTTTTAAAATTTTTGAAATGTTCCTATTTAAAGATATTCCTAATTCCAGAATCTAAAATGTCGTTGTTAAGTTGTTTATCAGGGTTGGGTAAGATTGGTGGATTTATTCAACCTACCACCATCTTGGAGAGTTTTGTCAGGTTTGTGTCAGATCTTTGTTTTTAAAGGGATTGTCAACGTAATTTTACTTGACCATTATTGTCTTGTAGTCCCCTTTAAACCGTTCTCTTAGTAACTACCGTGCAATGTTTTTACATTTAAAAATAATAAATTCTGTCCGTTTCCTCGTCCTAATTTAGAAACTTCAATTGAATATTATCTCTTTTCAGATTGAATAAAAAAGATTAAAGGATAGTTGACATAATTTCAAGATATCTTTATTTATACCAACAACAAAGTGGTTCCCTTTATTTGAGTATCACTCACACAGATTTCCTCGTTGTTCTTTCTTGAAGATTCTTTCTAACTTCGCTATACCAACCTCTATTTTAGAAATATCGATATTCGTAATTGATACCAATTTGCTCAGATAGTTACCCATTTACTTGTCTTGAGGGGGGTTTAATTAAACGCCCTTAAAAGTGATTTTTAATAGCCAAAATAAGCCTTTGGAGATTTTTTTTTATTCTCTAAAGCCAATAATTAATTTTGTCTTTATATTGAAGCATAAACCAGACCAAAACTCCTAGTAAAAAAGTATCTAAATCTTTGCATGGAAAAGAATTTAAAGTATGGCTCTGAATGGTCTATTTTCAGAATTCCTTTGAAACTCCGTCATATTTGTTGCTATTACATATATTTTATTAATATTATTCACTTCCTAATTTGATTTTAACGTTTTTTATTTCAAATTTGGACTTTTACTTGATCTTAATCCTTGATTCGCGATTCTTGATACTTATTACTTGATACTTGATTCTTGATACTTATTACTTGATACTTGATTCTTGATCTTCATTCTGTTCAGGGATGCGAGTAAGAAAGCTGGAAGTTCTACGAGGAATAGATGTAGGAATACCCCTGGTAAAAGAAGAGGAATCAAGGTCTACGATGGTCAAAGAATTCCAAGTGGGTGAGTTAAATATTTTCTTAACAGGGCTGCAGGTGCAAGTTTTATATTTCCAATTAGTACCCTTTGCATCTTTGTCTGATCAAGGTTGACAGAGATATCCATAATTTTCCAAATAAAAAATTAAGTGTCGCTACTCGAGTTTACCTGTACTAACTACATACCAGCGAAGACAAGAGTTTCCTGTCACTAAATATTTTTAACCAGAAAAATAAGGATGATTTCAACGTAAAGAAGACAAAAGTTAAAAGTGTGATGCTGTGAGTCCGACATACTCGACAAATATAATTACAATCATTAAATAAATGGTAGTATCCCAGTATCCTAATATTAAGGAAAATTGTAGCGTCCCAGTATCCTAATATTAAGGAAAATTGCAGTGTCCCAGTATCCTAATATTAAGGAAGATTATAGTATCCTATATTTAGGAAGATTGTAGTATCCCAGTATCCTAATATTAAGGAAGATTGTAGTATCCCAGTACCCTATATTTAGGAAAATTGAAGTGTCCCAGTATCCTAATATTAAGGAAGATTGCAGTGTCCCAGTATCCTAAGATAAAGGAAAATTATAGTATCCTTTATTTAGGAAGATTGTAGTATCCCAGTATCCTAATATTAAGGAAGATTGTAGTATCCTAGTATCCTAATATTTAGGAAGATTGTAGTATCCCAGTATCCTTTATTTAAAAAGATTGTAGTATCTCAGTATCCTAATATTAAGGAAGATTGTAGTATCCCAGTATCCTATATTTAGGAAGATTGTAGTATCCCAGTATCCTATATTTAGGAAGATTGTAGTATCCCAGTATCCTATATTTAGGAAGATTGTAGTATCCCAGTATCCTAATATTTAGGAAGATTGTAGTATCCCAGTATCCTTTATTTAAAATTGTAGTATCCCAGTATCCTATATTTAGGAAGATTGTAGTATCCCAATACCGTCTACAGATCTTACCAGGATGGAACACTGTGATGCTACCAAACTGTAATATCATGGCTCTTACTCACGGTAGAGTTATAATTACCACAGAGAAGGTTCAACCTAAGCAGGAGGTAAAAAGATCTATTTTTATCATTATTAATATTAAAGGGACTGTACGCGTAATTTCAACTGACTCTCCATGCAAAAGTGGCAATGCCCGATTCACAAGTGTTTATTTCTGATCATTTTTTTATGTTTTCCTGTCGTAGAAATCAAGTCACTTTTGTAGAGAAACCATATTCAAAAATAATCAATATTCAAGATCATTATCATTGATATTTTATATCAAACAAAGATGTTAAATGTACCGTTGTGAATCGAATATTTAGCGTCTTTCCATGGAGGGTCAGATGAAATATATAGAATACAGATCGAAACAGAGACTGCCAAAGCTGACAAATACGAAATATATAAGCACACGTTCTACACGTGGTAAATTGAGCTAAACAAGCGTACCTCTTTGACGACTTCTGAGCTCGTTCTCTTCATAGAAAGTGGTCGTGTAGTTCACGTACTTTGGGGGACGATATGTTGGCCGCTAGATGTCTCATGCTAAATTCTTATCTGATAAATAGATATTTCTCCGTACATTTGACGACCAATATAGGAGACGTCAAGTTGTCGACCAATGTAGTTTATGGAAGGAACGGCCTCTGGAAAAACTGTGGAAAATTATCTATGCCGCGTCAATTTATAAACTTTTGAATTTGATTGATCGATTGAATAGGATTAGGGTTGTTGAAATTTGCACCGCGCAATAAAATACTAAGGATCTTCAAAATGCAGCAGAACTAATTGAGCAAAAATAAATACAGTGCATAGATAGAATCTACAAAATATCACGTTTCACGACAAATTATGCAAACATCATAATGTTTTAACACTTAAGTATTAATAAACGTTTTTGAATATCGAAAACACATGGTCCTGCCAAATTAGAAGCAATAATTTGGAAAGATACTTTTCAATAACGAAAAAAAATTATGTTCAACAGCAAAAAAATGTTTATTTTCAACATCAAATTTTTTTTTAAGTATTAATTTCAACAACAAAAATAGATTTTTTCAATAACAACAAATTTATTATTTTTAACAAAAAAATTATTTTCAACGTCTAAAAAAAAGTATTATTTTCAACAACAAATTTTTTTTTACAAAATAATAGAATTTTAAGTTAAAGTTCCTAGATATAATGCATTAACCGACAGGAAATGTTTTTATGAAAAGGATTTTTTCTGTTTGCTCATTTATGCTTAGTAAGTCAATGTAATTGTATACCTCTGTATTCCGGAATTAACAAGAAAGATTTTTTTAAAAATAGTTTTAATATTTTATTTTTCTTGATGCAAAGTATTGATAAAAATGTTCTAGGAATATGAAAAGCTACCTGCCCGACTAGGAAAAGTTATGCCGGACCATCTTCTCCAGGAAATATATTCATTAAACAAACCTTTAAAAGTTTTAAATAATTTTTTTAATCTAAAATCTTTTCCTTAGTTTAGAATTTGAAACATTAATTTTTCAATTAAAAAATATTTGATGTATTTTTTTGCTACTGGTAGGAAAGGGAAAAAAGTATGGTCACATATTTTTATAGTTTTTAGTAACATCGCTAAGGATATGTAATTGGGCCATAAAAACATAACAGAGCCTGGTGCATAATTTTAAGAATTACAATTCCCCTTGAATAATGGGGGGAATGGTTATTCCCGCAAATATTTATTATCCCAAATTCCACAAAGAAACCCCTAAAAATAACATACCTAAGGTTGAGGGAAAAGGTCTCTCATAAAGTTTACACAATGCTAAATCTATAGCATTGTTTCACAGTTGACTTTCACAGAGACAACTTTTTTCCGCTTTTTACATGACTGTACACTGTACCAGTGTACAATGAAACAATTCTTATATTTATTTGATTTAATGAGAATATTTATCAGGAGAATATTTACAAACCACATATTCACATACTTCCTGATGAACAGCATCAATACTTCAAACTCACAGAACAGATTTAATCTCGGGCAGAACATTCTAGAATTAGCAACAAAAATCCACCAAAAACCAAGTATTTTTTAGAAAATGCACCAAAAACCTACATTTGACTTGGTAATGCCCCAAAACCGGCGTTTTTCTAGAATTGCGCAATTTTACCTAAAATCGCCATTTTGAAATCTGCATGTGGTCGTGTAGTTAAACCATCTGTAGTTAAACTAGCAAACAAGCGAAAATTCATTCTTTTTGTTTCAGAGATATGAACTAAAATAACTAGTCAGCTTTATGATGGACTGTCAGGATTCAGATTCCAAGCTTTGTACAAATGATGGTAAGCTTAAACATCTTTTTGTCTTGGACATCATTTTAAGGAACAAAGAGGAAGATATCGCCGTTTTTCATTCTGACAAGTTTGTAATATTCTTAAAAATTCCTACATTGTCCCTGCACTTCGATAGAGATATCTCATTTATACATAATCAGAAAAATGTTTCAAGGGTACCGTTGTGAAGCTAATATTTCAAATGGTGGGTTGCTTAATATTACGTTTTTATTCCCTCAAAGGAGTCGAGCAATCGAAACTTGGAATAAAATAGATAAGAGTATACAAATGTAAATCATCTTCTCTTTGTAGAATTTAAAACAACAAAAGTTCGCGAATTAAATGGCATTTTTTCGCCTATTTTCAAAACTTTGAGCATATGTAAACTTTTCCTTGGGTCATGTGAGGTCCCACACAAAATTTGGGCCCGATTGGTTCAGCTGTTATGACATTTTTTTGGATACAAAGAACATGTATAGATTAAATAAAGTGACGATAAAATATTTTTAATTTTTCTTCTTCTAGATGGAAAAAAGAATGTTGCCAAGAAATTGATAGAAAAGTACTACTACCAACTAACGAAGGTAATTGTTAAAACTATTGGCCATAAACCATAGGTCATGTGAGGTTATTTGCATCGCCTTTGAGATTTAAGTATGTTATATGAGTTTTGACTGGTTACATACATAGATAAAGATAGATTGCGCATAAGACGACATTTTTCATCTTGAAAGATATAAATGTACAAAGATGTTTTAAAGATATTCCTATTATATAGATTAACTAGGTGGCTGTGAACATTGGCTGTTCTTATGTCATTGAGTACTTGTGGTGTACATGAGTTCTGTAAAAAGAAATTTAAGTTAGTTTAGTCCTTCTCATGTCCTTCGTCAGTTCTCGTCAATATAATATATTGCTCAGTAAAATAATTTGATATTCTGAAAAAAAAATTCACTCCTGAGTGGTTTAATAATGATGAAATCCATTAAAAAACCAAACCACCCCGCTTATCATAGAAGTACACAATGACCCCTAGAAGTATCAGTTCTCGGACTGTACAATTCTTGGTGATTTTGCGTACATAAGCTATCTATGTTTATTTATTTATCTATGGTTACATACTTTGGTAAAGGTTCTGTTAACTTTTTAATCAGTTAGCGTTTCATACATTTGCAATATCTCATACTTCATAGTAGAATAAATAAATTATGGAATTAAATATGAACTATATCCAATATTGACAAATATATTTCCATGAATTTAAGGAAGTTTGTTCACTTTTTCTAGTAACAATTTTAGCTTTTAACTGTTGCTTTTGAAGTCGTACACTGCAATAAAAAAAATTAAGATTCGCGGTGGTTTTGTTAATATTGTTGAATTTTTTAAAATAAAATGTTTGACATTTTCTACGAAGCAAATTTTTCTCATTTGATTGTCTATAAACCTTCCCTCGGGTCAAGCTTGTTGCCACACGAAATATGACTCCATCGGTCCAGTCGTTTGGCCTTTATTGGATACAAATAGACAAAGGGACAGACAAGCCAAATAAGAATAATATATATAAGTATATAGATAATACAGATATCCATAACAGTTTCTCGAACACGTATCTATCCAGGTACAACTCAGATTCTCTTGACTATCATTGTCAACACACGGCTACAATCCCGTGAACTATCAACGCCACTACCACTGGGCGCGATCTCGTTAGGTATCAATGTCAACAGCGAAATATGGTTGAAAAGAGTTGACAAGTCTAGTATAGATATATTCGTTATTATGTACGTACATGTACTAATTTTAATTTTCTATGTTAAGGGATGTGGGAAAAAATGTGATAATCCTAACTGCTATTCCTCTCAACTATCTCCTCCTATAGGTATTTATTCGCTTAAAAATATTTTAAAATGGATATTTAAAAATATATACTTGATATATATAATATTGAGGCCTGGATTATCCAAAATGGAGGGTTGGGGGAGATTACAGACTACAGAGAGCTACACTAAAAAAAAACAAGTTTTATCTTTTGTATTTAAGTAGGATATTTCTAAACATATGACGATCATGGTTTTATATTTCTGATAAATCAAAGAAAAGGGGGATTGTAATTCTTTTTGTTTGATTCCAGAGCCGGAAATTTTAAAGAGTATTGTGAACAAAACTCTCTAGTTTGCTGTTAGGGGTTTAAACATTTGCGTAGATTATAATATTTCTTAACAAAAATATTGGTATACATAAAGATATGAAACCCCATTCATAATGTATAAAGCTGTGAAACCCCATTCATAATATATAAAGTTGTGAAACCACATTCATGAAACCTAGTTTCCGATACCATGGATTTCATTTTTTTTTGGGCTCAGCAAATTGTTTGCTGGCCTTGTGTTTACCCTGTACTCTTTAGACCCCAACGAGGCTGCAGTACAGGCTTTAAACCTGTTTAAGACGAGGGCCAGACTGTGTGAGACCAGTGATCCGAGTAAACAAACAGATGAAGCCATGGAGGTGAGATCTCGAAAATTCAACATTTTGGAACATTTTAAAGAGACTATACGCGTAATTTCAAGAGGCACAATGCCCGTTACAACGGTACCCTTTAAGGCTTTGTCTGATCAAGTATGAATTAGATAGCAATGTTTTTGTTTCTTAAATGTTTATTTTGATTTGCGGGCTTTCTGCGAAAATGACTTGAGCGTTTCTTGAACAAAACGCTTTTCGAGTTGGGAAACAACGGTATCTTCCACGGGTTCAAGAGTACCCTTGTTAATCGGGCATTGCCATCTTTACAGGGAGGGTCTCTTTAAATTACGCTTACAGTCCCGTTATGAAATTCTCCATTCTGTCAACCTGTGGTCTGCCCTACTGACCTGCCAGTCTTTGAATTGTACTATTGACCTTCCAGTTTTATAATCAAGTTCATTAAGAGAAGCCTAACAGTTCTATTAAAAATTTCATAATAATTTTCTACTTTTTACTTTTGCTAAAATAAGTCCAAAAGAAAAGCATCTTTTATTTATTTCAAACTTTATTAAAACATCCTGTTGAAAATTTGTTAACAGTCCCTTTAATGTTTAAAATATTTTAGATTGATGTGACCAAAGAACTGTTTCTACAGGAAGGTCCAAGTGGTTCTTGTCTAGGTTAGTTTTAGTTTATTAGCCTTATAGTCTCGAGTCCAATCTGGTCCTAGTGGTTTCTGTCTAGGTCAGTCTTAGTTTTTAAGCTTAGTCTCGAGTCTAAGGTGGTCCTCCAGAGATGAGATTTTAAAAGCTTAAACCCAGCTAAAACCCGGTCTTTGCGTCTGCTTAGACCCAAGTAAAGCTCAAGTCAAGACCCGGGTTTTGGATGTCCTTGAGTTTAGTAAGAACCAACCCTCTTGGGTTTTACTCTCTTTAAGGCTTGAGTCTTTAGTAGCTGATGATCGTAAATTTCGTAAAATCTTTTATATTTGTACATTTAAAATCTCGTAAATTGTTTGTGGTGTCAAATTTTTTTGATTATTTAAAATAAACATACTATGAAAATAATGTATCTACATAAAGTTTGAATTTTCGAAATTTACATCTCCTTGTCACAGCTGATCTGACCGCATTCTGTCTGCTACAGAGAGAAAGCTTGCAACACAGTCTCTCATTGGTCGAATCAGAACCAATCCTGACTTTGGTTCTATCTAAGCCCGAGTTTGGGTTTTAGTCGGGTTTAAGCTTTTAAAATCTCATCTCTGTTTAGGTTAGTTTTAGTTTAAAAGCTAATTTCGAGCCTAAGCTGGTCCAAGTGGTTCCAGTCTAGGTTAGTTTTAGTTTAAAAGTTTAGTCTAAAGTAGTGGTTCCTGTTTAGGTTAGTTTTAGTTTTAATGCTTAGTCTTGAGTCTAAGCTTGTCCTTGTGGTTCCTGTCTAATAGGTTTAAAAGCTTAGTCTCCAGTCTAAGTAAGCTGGACCTAGAGGGTCCTGTCTACGTCAGTTTTTAGTTTGAAATCTTAGTCTTAAGTCTAAGCTGGACCTAGAGGGTTCTGTCTAGGTTAGGCTTAGTTTTAAAAGCTTAATCTCGAGCCTAAGCTGGTCCAAGTGGTTTCAGTCTTGGTCAGTTTTAGTTTAAAAGCTTAAAGTCTCGAGTCTAAGGTGGACCTAGAGGGTTCTGTCTTCGTCAGTTTTAGTTTAAAAACTTAGTCCCGAGTCTAAGGCTGGACCTAGATGGTTCTGTCTACGTCAGTTTTAGTTAAAAAGCTTAATCTCGACCCTAAGCTGGTCCAAATGGTTCTAGTCTAGGTTAGTTTTAGTTTAAAAGCTTAGAGTTAAGTGAAAAATGTATTATTCGTAACTCTAATATTCTAAACCACATCTGGAAAGAAAAGTAGTTCGCAGCTTTTATGTTTTATCGCGTTCTTAGAAATGCTTGTAAACCCCCTACGCTTGCCTAGGAATGCTTAAANGGTACAGGTACAGGTACAGGTACAGGTACAGGTACAGGTACAGGTACAGGTACAGGTACAGGTACAGGTACAGGTACAGGTACAGGTACAGGTACAGGTACAGGTACAGGTACAGGTACAGGTACAGGTACAGGTACAGGTACAGGTACAGGTACAGGTACAGGTACAGGTACAGGTACAGGTACAGGTACAGGTACAGGTACAGGTAGTTAAAACACCAACCATTAAGTTAGTTACAAAGCTAAGTTAGTCAATTTCTTATCGTTTTCATGAATATCGTTCTCGGAGGCCTGGTTTATTTAATGGGCAGACAAGTTTAACTTAAAGTCTGAATCTGTGATAGGCTTCAATAGATTTATTAACTGCATTTGAATTAGGTTCAGATGTTACTAAACCTGTCTCCAAGGAGTCTGGATCTCAGGGGAAGAAGTTGACTAAGGAGGAGCTGAGGAGCCTGGAAGGGGAGATGGAGAAGGATGTGGACAGCAGCCAGGACAACCAGGAGAAGGAGAAGGTGGAAAAGAATTCGTCTCTCTCCATATCACTGGATTTGGAAAGTCTCAGGTATTGTTTAATGATCAGTGTTATTTTAAAATGGTGCATGACTCAGATTTTGTTAGGATCTCTGTAAAATTGAAGAGAAAACAATCGTGCCCACCCCCCCTTGTGATAAGTTTTTGTGTTTATTCTTTATTTTGTGTAGACGGTCGTTGGAATCTCTTTTGATCGGATATCGGTATTTTAGAGCGGTTTTAATGCCCTTGTTTTGTTGTGCTCTAACCTATTTTACTATTGTTTAAGGCGGTCGTTGGAATCTCTATTTTGTCTGGATAACAGTATATTTGAAAGCGGTCTAGTCAATGCTCTTGTTATGCTCTGCTCTAACCTATTTTACTATTGTTTAAGGCGGTCGTTGGAATCTCTATTTTGTCTGGATAACAGTATATTTGAAAGCGGTCTAGTCAATGCTCTTGTTATGCTCTGCTCTAACCTGGAGATGGATCTGAAGTGTAAACCTAATATAGCTCAGGTAAGACAAATTTACAGGTTCAAACTATTTCTGACGCAAAAAATATGATATTGATAGCTATCCCTTCTAATTTCTAATTTCATGTGACCCTCGATGCAAACATGTTAATGCCCGATTCACAACTATACCCTTTAAACTTTTGAATGATCATCGAGGCAAGAGAAATTTGTGTCTTTATCTCTCAAATAGTGTTTGAATTGCCGCAAAAGTGGATGTACGCTACCGTACATGTATACATCGAAAATGTCAAATATTTTATCTCAAATTCGAAGTTGTTTTAAAAAAATTCGAATAAAAATTTACTTTTGTTTTAGGATTGCAACTTTTTAAACGTGTACGCAATAATATTTGAACTTCCGACCCTTGGTTCAGAAGCATACTTGGAGAATGTAGTTCCTGTTCTTTGCCGGGGCGTGGCCCTTCTACCCCTCCCCTCACAGGTAGTTATGTGCATTATATAAGTTGGTTCATTTTTGCTGATATTTTTTTTATGGTCAAAATTCGGAGTAGTTAAAAAAGCAATTGTTTTTAAACTTGTTTGCATTTTTTGTTCTGGGCGAAATTTAGACTCTTAAAAGAAAATATTGGCAAAAAACGAATCATTAAATCAATCCGAAAACGAACATGTTAAAACGATCATTTTTGGACCGTTTTTTCCTTTTTTTTTGAATAACAACTTTGCCACGTTCAATAAAAATTGTGGGTTGAGTACAGTGGATCCAAACTTTAAGCCTTATATTTATGTATGGTTAAATTGTGGGCTGAGTAGTGAGTAGTGAGTACAGTGGATCTTAACTTTAATCCTTATATCTAGATTAGTATGGTTAAATTGTGGGCTGAGTAGTGAGTACAGTGGATCCAAACTTTAATCCTTATATTTAGATTATTCTGGCTAAATTGTGGGCTGAATATTCTGGATCCAAACTTAAATCTCTACTGGAAAACCTTCAACAGATTTTGTCTCTAAAGGTACTTAAAAAAAAGTTTTAGTGAAAAAATGAAAAATTGGATATTCTAAGGCAAATTTTTCATCTTTTAATACTTTTTAACCAAAAATTAACTTTTTCTTTCCAAAAATCGTTGATATTCCGCAAACTTCTAAAAGAAAAAAATTCACTCTGCTAAACAACCCCAATATCTAGGGGGTAAATTATTTTCAAAGAGGAGATGTGCGGATGATTTAACAACAAAATATGCTCCCCCTGTCCAGTATTGCTCCTCAAAGCAACTAACTTTTATTTTGTCATATTTTCCAATCTATTTAGGTCTACACTGGTGCATTTTCCAGAGAAAGAATTCTCAATGAGGTTGGTTTATTTACTGTATTGTTGATATGACTTTAGTTTTAATTAACATAAATCAAAAAAGTTAATTTTTTGATCAATTTGTTAGAAATTATGTCCCCTAAAATATTTATTTATAAATTTATAATTTATTAGTGATTTATTTCTTGTATTAAGGATGAGACAATAACCTCAGTTACCTCTGTGATAAGAATATTGTACTATGCTAGTCTGTTGGCTGGAGAAAGGTAAAGATTCAACGCAGGGGTGCAAATTTGGGGGGGAAATTCCCTCCCCCCTCATCCCCCCCCGCTCATTCCTTCTCAATTACAAGAAGAGTAAATATATATAATAAAGCTCTTCGCTATCATCTATTTATATGATAGCTTTAGCTGACCAAACGTCTGGTTAAAAGTTTTCTGAATTTTTTTTAGGAAACACATGGGTACCCTAGGGATAACATAGCCTCATAGGCTAAAACTATCCGATTTTATTTTTTTTCAAAAATCGAAATAAAAATTAAAACTGTTTCCATGGGCAACGCTATTTATATTTATACTTCTACTGTCTTCATTTGCTTATTGTCTCCCCTACCTACTTACTTGATACATTTTATCTTGTAATTAATTGTTGATATTTTATTCTTTTCTTAGAGAGAGTCAAGATTACTGGGACTCTACAGACCCCACACCCGGTGATCCGGACATTGATAACTTTGCCGGTGTTCATATTATTCCAAATTCTGCCAGGTATTGATAGTAACACCCCCCCCCCCCCCCCCCCCCCCCCAAAAAAAAAAAAATAATAATGACGATCACCGCTTCATTATGAATAGCGGCCAGAACATTAACTACTTTGTTTATGAAACTATATGATATTATATAATTGAAAAAAGCATGATGGAAGCACACACTGTCCTAAAAATGTTTTTAAAGCAAAACATCACTGCACACCATGCTAAAACCGATGCCTTAATTTAAATTAGTGACTAATAAAAAACTGCGAAAATTCTTTTATACAATTATTGTTTTTATAAGTATTTTTTTTATAACAAAAATAATAATAACAATAACGCATAAAAATTTGCCGATTTTCTTGATTTTAAAGTCAATTTCGTTAAATTTACACAAACTTTCGACGGAGCGGACAGCTCTGGTTGATACTCAACTAAGCTACTCATCTTCGAAATATGTTTTTATGATTATTTTCTCTCTGTAGGTAAAACAATGCAAAGTTTGGACGAAGAGAAACTGGATAAAATTATCAAGGAACAAAATTAAAAATATTTTTAATTCTTTTCTTAAGATAAATTCCTTTTTAACATTTTCTCTTGTTTTTAGCTTCATTTATTCATGATTATGTCCTCAGCTGATTCACGATGATTCCTATCAACATTCTTGATCAGACTAAGATTTATAGGGTATCTGTGTGAATCGGACACTTAAATTACGTCTCAAGTCCCATGCTTTGTCGAAGCTAATATGAAATAGAAGTTTAGAAATCGATGTTTATAATTTTGCAAATTAATTTTTTTTGTTTCAACATGATGTTTTACAATTTATTTACTTGCTTATTCCTACTTACGGAAAACATGTAAAATTTTCGGAAACGACCATATCTTCCACACTATTGATCAGATAAAGGTTTCAAGTGTACCGTTGTGCATATGGTATTTTAATCTTTTCATGGAGGATCCCTTGAAATTACGCTTACAGACCCTTTTTGGAATTAAAGACGTAAGTTCAAGAGACACCATTTCAAGAGCCATTTACAATGGTATATTTATCCTGACTAAGATTTAAAAGGTATTACTTAGATGGATGGTCACCTAAATTACGTCTATAATCCCATCATGTAAAAAAATATTTATTTTGTGGATTTAAGGATGCCAAGATATCTAAAAATTACTCTGTTCTGAAACAAACTCTATGGGATGTATTCTCTAGTCAGGAGGCATTAGCTAACTCATGGACAGGTACAGGTACAGGTACAGTTACAGGTACAGGTACAGGTACAGGTACAGTATCAACTAAATTATCCTAAATCATTCTTTTGCATTTTCAATAAAATGTGTAAAAAAAAATAAATGAAAAAGACCAAAAATTTTAAAAATCCACGAAATTGATTTTGCATAAAATCCTCAATAAAAGAACATTACGCCTATGATTATGTAAAATTGCAAACATTACTAGTTAAAGAATAATTTAATAAACTTAATCAAATATTTGCCACATATTTATCGATTTATTATGATAATAGGGTGAAGTATCATGATCCTATGGGAGTTGAACTTGAAATATCTCCGCTAGATGTCAGAGTTCCTCTTATTCCTCTTGAAGAATTCTACAATGAACCACTTAATGAAACTATTGGTAAGTAAGAAGGTCATCTCTATGGGACATTACTGGGACGACTTTGTGAATGTGCTCTTGTAGCGCACATGTTCGAGAAACACAAATTTATCTGAGCTGAAAACTTTAGGATGAGTTATCCTCAATCCCGATTACTTAATATGAGTATCCAATGGACACCCTTTTGATTTTCTTCTTAAACCGATCTTTTTTGGATATAGTAGAGAAAAATCAAAAACTGGTTCTTGAAATTAGAGAGTCCCTCCCGTTTCTGTATATTAATCTTAAATGGCGCGCAAAATTTTAAATTTCTTGGCTTGTACACGACTCTGATTGGTTGAATTTTATACACTTTTCAGGATGCAAGTACCAGATTAGGTTAATCTCAATATTAAGAAAAAGAGAGGATCGAGCATTAATCTCGATATCCACCATTCTAATGTTTTTAGCTCTGGTTACATAATAGAAGTATAAAACATTTTTGTTCATCTCAATATCTCTTCAGTTAGTGGAGTTATGATTAGTAACATCTAAATTTCAATATTACGTGCAAGTTTCTTTAGTTTAAGCTGAATTATCACAGTGGTGTATATTTGTCAAAATTCAGTCCACCAACTGGGGCGGAATAATTTTTCCACAACAATTTGAAATCAACACACATTACTAAGGCAAAGCTATATTTATGACATTTTTTAGTTAAAATCATAGATGACGCATTTATTTGTTTAGGATCCGAATGTACGCCGAGAGACGCGTAACATTTATCCAATCATTCCTTGGAACCAGTGAATCCTCACCTTATCTTAAACTTAGTGTGCGTAGAGATCATATTATAGAGGATGCTCTTGTAGAGTTAGAGGTAAATGGAATCTAAATTTTTCACATCATAAATAAATATTTTGTGAATTCCTCTTTCGGGGGGGGGAGCCTGTAGATTTTGGTGCAAATGGAATGGACATCATTGGCACATTTTCCCAAAAATCCACTTTCAACAAGTTTTGGACCTAAGATGGAAATCTTACATATTTTTAATCCTAACGGCTTTAATGGAAGAAAACTTTGAATTTCTTATATGCAGATTGATCACTGTAAACTCCGGTTCATTTCATGTACAGGGCCGACTTTTAATCAGCTAGAGTAAGCTGTACAGTACAAATATAGACTATGAGGCTAAACGGGACATTATGACATTAGAGTGACCTTTGACGTTATCTAAATTGTTTATTGATATCGGTGATCATGATCAATCTAGGTGGTTGTAATGGAGAACCCCCAGGATCTGAAGAAACAGTTGGTGGTGGAATTCGATGCTGAGCAGGGGATTGACGAGGGCGGGCTCAGCAAGGAGTTCTTCCAGCTCATAGTGGAGGTTAGTAAGAGTTAGTTTTTATTGACCCCACTTGCTCCATACTAAGAGTATTCCAGGCTAGGTTAGGTTTAGATAGATTGACAGATAATCGTGTAAGGCTAAAAATTGTGGGTTCTTGGGGTGTGGGGTGGTGGGAGATGTAAATTTTAAAATCAACTGGCAGGTTGTTCAGTTTTGGATATTTTAATTCAAAAATTTTCCCTTTTCCTCGGGGGAAATATTCTTGAACAAAATATATATTTCCCAGATCATAGTTGTTTTATTTAGGAAATGTTTAATGCTGATTTCGGTATGTTCATCCTGGACTCAGAAACTCAGAATTTCTGGTTTAATCCGACTAGTTACGAGTCTGATGCTCAGTTTACTTTGGTTGGAATCATTCTAGGTGGGTCCAGTAGGAAACTGATAGTATCATTATTATTTTCATGATCATTTTTCTTTTTTAGAATCAATATTATTTTCATTATCATCTTCGGGATCATTATGATTCTTATTTTAAGTAACACTATTATTTTGATTATCATCTTACATGATCATTATTATTTTATTTTCGGTAACATTATTATTTGTTTTTCGGCATCATTCTTATTTATAGTATCATCTTTATTATTTTCAGTATCAATTATTATCTTTTTGTTTTCAATTTATCACTCTTATTTTCTGTATAATTATTGATATTATCAGTTTCATTCATTGTTTTCAGTATCTTTATGATTTCAGAATCATTATCATCTTCGTTATCATTAGTATCTTCATTATAATTACAATGTTTTATATTCAGTGTGATTAGAACTTTTTTTTATTTTAAATACAATTATTGTTTTACTTATCTTAATTATTTTTATTATCCTTATTATATTCATTTCCTTTAGATTTTCCTAAAATTTTCATAATAAAAAATTTTGAATTTATCATTATCATTTTAAAAATTCAGTATCATTGCTATTTATTATTGTTAGTAGTACCATTTTCATCTTCATTTCATCGGTACTATCATTCGTATCTAAATTATCATTAGTATCATTATTATCATTGTTATCACTCAAATTATTATTATGAATATTTAAACTAGGCCTGGCAATCTATAACAATGTGATCTTAAATCTCCATCTTCCAAGTATAATCTACAGAAAACTATCTGGAAAAAGAGGAAGCTTTCAAGATCTTAAAGAATTTAAACCTGTAAGTTTTGTTATTTTTCTATTTTTTATTTCTAATACTCCAAACTTCATTTTACTGCTTGATTTACTAGAAATTGTTTAAAAGGCTTTACTTGAACCCTATGATCTTCTATTTGAAAATTGATTTTGTTCATTTTGGGGTTTTTATATTTCGTGACTTACTTTTTTAGCTTCATTAACAATTGTGGAAAGTGTAAAAATAAAACACTTCTTGAGCTAAGAGAAAACTAAGATTCATGCAAATTTGTTTCAAAAAGAGATTCAAAGAGTTACGTTGTGAATCGGGCAAGCACCTCGTCAAAAGGAAGGTCACTTTGGGTGGGGGTGGGTGGGTTATTTTGGAATAAACCATTTTTTAAAGTTTTATATCTTCCCAATATAAGGGCTCAAGCCTTTAATTCTTTTTTCTGTTTAGTCTATCTACCAGGGACTGCTGGATATGCTCAACTATCAGGGAGATGATCTGGAGGAAACATTTCTCCAACCTTTTCAGATTTCATACACAGACCTATTTGGGTCAACCATAGTCAAGGTGGGTGGTTGGTTGGTTGGTTGGTTGGTTGATTGACTGATAAAGTGATTGATTGATTGATTAATCCATTGATATAGTGTGATCATTGCAGATTGATTGATTGCTATATTTATTCTTATATCGATCAGTTTTTTGATTGTAATATGATTTATACATTGTATATTGATTTATTATGTATTGATTTATATATTGATATATATATTGATTTACATATTGATTTATATATTGATTTACTATGTATTGATTTATAGATTGATTTATACATTGATTTATATATTGATTTATAGATTGATTTATAGATTGATTTATATATTGATTTATACATTGATTTATACATTGATTTATACATTGATTTATACATTGATTTATATGTTGATATATATTGATTTATATATTGATTATTTATTGATTTATACATTAATTTATATTTATATATATATATATATTGATTGATTGATTTAGGAACTATGTCCCGGGGGAGAGGATAAGATGGTGACCAATGCTAACGTACAAGAGTATGTGGACAGGTAATTACAAAACCAATGATAAGAATCCAAATTAGTTAGCTCCTGGTTCCGTCCTGTAAAAAAATGGGCCCGGATCCAACTCTTGATGCTTTGCTAATCTATTTCACAGTGAACAATCTTCTAAAAAAATCTTATTTTTTTCGCTAACTTGGTTTTCTATTTTATAATAAGGATTTTTTATTGATGTTTGATTTTTTGCTACTTGTAGCCTGATCCAGATTCAGAAGAGGATAAAATCAAATTAGGCAACAATTCAATCTCGAGTTGACAGAACTAAATAAAGAATGTAGCAAGGCCTTATAGCTTGTAAACTGGATGACTTTTACAATTTTTTGACTGTTTGAATTTATGGCCAATAAATTTAGTTTAATTTTTGTAATTCGTAAAATCATTTAATGAATATTTTTATTGCATTCTAGATTTTGCCGATCCAATGTAAATGAGTATTACCCGACCATAATCAATCTATACTGTTTAGTTACGCTGACTATCTATTGAATGTAATGGCGGAGAAACAGTTCCTGGCGTTCCAGCGCGGATTTAACCTCGTGACCTCCGAGTCCCCCCTGGGGATGCTCTTCACTCCTACAGAACTAGAGATGCTCATCTGCGGAGAAAAGGTTATTTTCAAGAACAGTCCTTTTATATTATTTTTATTATGCGCTTAAAGGGAATGTCGACATTTAAATAGTTATGTATGCTCAATTAACAACGACCTTTCAGCCCCCCCTTCCCCCCCCCCCCCCCCAAAAAAAGAACATATTTTTCAAATGCGTGAGTTAACATTTGTTTCTACATGTCCTTACATGAACAAGTTAATCAAAAATAAATATCATCTACTTTCATGGGGGGTTTGACCGCTGTTCTAGGATTGAGTAAAAGAAGTTTTTAGATATCTTTGTATTTAATAAAGTGAATTACTAAACAATGGTTCTATCAGAGGCGTACTCATAGGGGGCTATGGATGCTCAGACCCCTCCCCCTGGATCAGTAAATTCTATGTTTTCCAGGGGTATTGAGGCCCAGATATAGATTATCACAAAGGGTTGTTCTATTTTAGATATGGGGAGAGAGTGATCCACGTTAAATCAGAAATTATAAAAAGTTGATTTTTAGGAATTTGATTTCAACGCTCTAGAGAGTTCAACGGAGTATGACGGAGGATTTACGAAGGAAACACCTTGTGTCACGTGGTTTTGGGAAACTGTACACGGTAAACTTGTAAATTCTTATTTATCCCATTTAAACCCCTGATTAAATTTCAAATATTTTAAATCATTGTTCACTCCTGTTCAATATTGTATATTTTATACTCTATTGTATATTGTATATTGTATATTGTATATTGTATATTGTATATTGTATATTGTATATTGTATATTGTATATTGTATATTGTATATTGTATATTGTATATTGTATATTGTATATTGTATATTGTATATTGTATATTGTATATTGTATATTGTATATTGTATATTGTATATTGTATAGGAATGAGTTTACATGATAAACGTAAGCTTCTACAATTTACAACTGGAAGCGATAGAATTCCTGTAGGAGGACTTTCCAGGTAAAAATTATCGGGTAAAAAATATCATAAAAGATTGAAATTCTAGCAAGAGTTGATCTGCATTCTACAATTTATAAGATTTTACTTAGATCTTCCATATTTCCCCCCCCCCCCTCCCCCCTAGTTAGTGGGTTTAAGTAAAATCAATAAAAGATAAAATTAAAATTATAAAACGGTTCAAAAATTAGCCATTTGATGAACAATTAAAAGAAAAGAGTTCCTAAATCTCCGATATTCATTCTTTAGTTGAAGTAAAATCAATATTATAATTTAATGATAATTAATTTTAGATTGAAACTGATAATCGCAAAGAACGGTCCTGACTCTGACCGCCTACCCTCAGCTCACACCTGTTTCAATGTACTGCTTCTGCCCGAGTATAATGATAAGCTGAAACTATCAAACTTACTGATGAAGGCGATTAACGAATGCAAGGTATGACACATTTATATATATATACTAAAAATGTTCCCCCACCCCTAAAAAAAAGGTTTTTCCCACGCAAATTAACCACAAACTGAAAGAAGGCTCCAAATACAACAAAATTTTCCCAAAAAAATTCCTGAATTAGTAAGTCACTTTTTCATGATTGAGTAATAAACATTTTTTTCTTGACCCGCCCCTCCCCCCCAAGCTGAATGTCTAGTTGCGATCTTGTAACAACATCAAATACAATTAAGTATTGCATTAATGTCGTCTTCCTATTCAATTGTGTTCTGGTTATCAATGCATACATATCGTTTTTTATTGAGTCTTACTCTTAAATGTTTTATAGTTAAAAAAAACCTTTACGGTTTTAAATGTTAACTTGCAACATATTTTTGTGGTGACATTTTAAGTCCTTTACAGTTTAGGAAAATGATCCAAGTTATCGCCAATCACTAATTAATATCAAATAAAGAATTATAAAACGGATTGATTTTAGTTCTGGCTAAATCAATATATAAACATGTAACACAAGGTTGGTTACCCACAATTTTTCCGTTCAGTTTTTTCTCAATAGTGTTCCGTTTGTGTTTTTGATTAATCATGTTTTTTTAGGGATTTGGAATGTTGTAAATGTACCAACAGCAGCAGTGTGCAGTGTACTGCAAATTGTACATTATGGTGCACAGTGTACAGTACTGCAGTATTCAAATCAGATATATTCAAGGAACAAAATCATTTGTACAAACATGAATAGTATTTATTCGATTTCTGGCTTTCTGGTTTTGTATTTTTCCAATTACAGGTTTACTAGTTCCCAACTACAGGTTTACTAGTTCCTAATTGCAGGTTTTTTATTTCCCAATTACAGGTTTACTAGTTCCCAATTACAGGTCTACTAGTTCCCAACTACAGGTTTATTATTTCCCAATTACAGGTTTACTAGTTCCCAATTACAGGTTTATTATTTCCCAATTACAGGTTTACTGGTTCCCAATTACAGGTCTACTAGTTCCCAACTACAGGTTTATTATTTCCCAATTACAGGTTTATCATTTCCCAATTTCAGTTTTACAGTTCCCAATTACAGGTTTATTATTTCCCAATTACAGGTTTACTAGTTCCCAATTACAGGTTTATTATTTCCCAATTACAGGTCTAAACTTTCCAATTACAGGTTTATAATTTCCAATTACTGGTTTATTATTTCCCAATTACAGGTTTATAGTTACCACATAAAGCAATTACAGTGAATTTCATAAAATATATGGCATAGTAAGACGACATTTAAGCAATCTTTGTGTATTGAATGTTGTAATAAAGAAAATAATTTTACCATTAGCTTGTTTATTCACAGTAAACAAATGCCGTGTTTCATGTTCATTGGACAATTGAAAATCAAAACTGGAATTTAACAGTCGTCTGCTTGTTCCACAGTTTTAGCTTTTCTTTGTACAATGTTTTAAGAATAAATGAAAGAAGACGATAATTATTAAACAAGTATTCTCTTTGCATAAATATATATGTTGTATTTCTTACAAATTTACCATCACATTTTTGTAATATTTAAATATAAGTTTTTTTTCAAGCCTAGATAAAATTTTAAATGTCACTTACAAGTGACATTTCATTCAAAGAGTGCCATGCCCAATTCACAACGATGTTCTGTAAACTCTTTGCGAGCAAATATCATGAAAATACCCTCGTTTTTTCTATCTGAAAATTGATCAGCTCTTGATTTTAATTCTTAACTTGCGTATTTTATGCAGCAGGAATAAAGAACGTAACTTTAAACTTACTAAATATAACACTTCCTTTAAGGTGAAAACGGATGATGTCTCTTAACGGTGTTTAATTGGTACCGTTGTAAATCGGACAACCACTCTTTTATGATTACAAAATATACGACTACAGAATGTAATTTTGAATATTTTCTATTTTCTCAACACTCTTAAATTTCGTCAGAAACTCCTTAAATTTATCACTTCAATAAAAACTTTTAACATTGAAGTTGATATATTCTGCTTAATCTTAAGCCTAAAGCGGAAGAAGTATTAAATGTGAACCTTAAAACGACATCTAATTATAATTATGTTTTATCACAATTGAATAAATATGTTTTACGTGAAAAATGTACTATCATTAGCGAATTAATTTTAATCTTACATACGTTTTATTTTTAATGCTTTGTGAGATTGTCTCAGCACAATTCACTGGGATCCAAAGGTTGCAACTCTCGCACAAAAATCGATGAAAATCTTGCCAATTTAGGGTTTCCATTCGCAAAACTTTTGCGCAATTTTTGTGAACGAAAGCGAAAATTTTAACTTTCGTTGCGCAGGCGCTTCATTTTTGCGTGAAAAATAGCATTTTGCACAATCATTCGTAAACTTTATTTCGCGCAAGATTGCGCTATTCTGCTTTTGCGTTATTCTGTTTTGCAGAACTTTCTCATTAAAAGGTTGATTAAAGGTGTAAACTGAATGTGTAATTGCAATTCTTACAAGGGGAACTGATAACTTGCCTAAAGCTCTAATTTGCAACCTGATCATGAGAGCACACTGCAAATCAAGATGTGCACGATCTCACCACAAAAGTCGAGCAGTATTTTCCCAACTACTTTTAAACTTAAGCAATAGAAACAGATATTTTGCATTTTTAAAATGAATATGTCTAAGCTGAGAAACAAAGGATTTATGATTTGTGAGGTAAAAGCAAAGGCCAAGGCGTTAAAACACTTCAAAGTTGAGGCTGTATATAGTAATTTGATAACTCAGGGTTGTCTTTATCTCAGTGGACATAAGTCAATTTCGAATTTCTTGTTTATAAGACTCGATAGAGAAATTCGCAGAAATAAACCCTATTCGAGTCAGAGATATGACGGTATCTTCCTCATTGCTGATTTGAAAATGAGATAGATACAAAGATAGATGTTACCGCCATACTCTTTTTATTGATTCAGAATAGACAACAAACACATGACTGCACCCTGATTGGATCAGGCGCTAATGGACTCGGCATACATGGAGTGAAGGGTCACTTGAAATTACGCGTACAGTCCCTTTAATAATTCTTTACGTGCTTTAATTACGGAATTATTGTCCAAACTGAAGTACCTAATGCACCTTCAATTGTAATGTTTATTTTGACACACTGTATTTTCTGGGTGGTATTTGTGTGTCCAGAATGTTTTGTTAAATAAAGAAGTTGGCTTCCATTTAAACTCTATTCAATAGAGATGTTTAACTCGCATAGGTTTTAGAATAGACGGACATGGTTCTTTAGTTCTTAAAGAGACAGACCTTATAATTTCTAGTAACCTTCCATGTGGTTAGGAACATGTTCGATTCACTACGGTGCCCTTAAAACCTTTTTCTGATCAATATGTGGTAGATTTTGTAGGCTTTTTAAACTCTCATCCATATTGTTTTTAAACAGAAATGCTCCAAGTACCAGGTTTCGAATGAGCGGGGGAAGGCAGGTGGCCATGAGCCACCACAATTTCCCCTTCCGTACCACATATTAGCTTTTTTCTCTTCCGGCAGCCATGAGCCACCACTATTTCCCCTTCCGTACCACCACATTTGAATCTTCCGGGCAAAACTACTTTTATAAATGGTATATTTAGGGCCTTTAAAGTCTGATTTAAAAAAAAAAATCCAGCCAGGTCACGCAGAAAAGTACAACTCAAACCATTTTTTCAATTCTACTCAAAATTAATATTTTGTGTATTGAATTCTTAAACTGTTTTACAATGAAATTTTTGAGAAATTTGAATGAGTATTGCATCTAGAAATATCACAAAGTCTAATGATCATTCAATTACTGACTCATTTATACTAATTCCATCTTAAAATCACTCATTAACCAACTGCCGCCTGCCTTCCCCGGCTCATCGGAATACGTTGCGAGAAAATACATGCGTGGAACAATGGTATCAATCGATTTCATTTTTAGTTTTGGCCTTGTATCTTTTGTCATAGAAGAAATTATGCAGAATGGGATAAATTAAACTTTAAAGAGATTTTTAGATATTATAAAAATCTTATATTGTGAAGAGTCAAAAATGTCAGAAATAGCAATGTATATTATCAAATATATTGTCATGTATGTAAAACTAAAAACAACGAAGTATATCCTGTCTGTATTGTATCATATTTTCATATATTAACAATGTTTATTAATCATATATGTCTAACAAAAAAGGATAGAATGACATTTACCAAAAATCTTAATTTAACGTCTGAAAATGGTATCCAAAGTTACGACAAACTGAATTTTTATCAGAGACCCTTAATTTACCGTGACTATTTGACTATTTGAGCTATTATAGAACTCTTAGTTTGAAACATTGACATCAGGTTGTAAATAAAATGAGGACAAGAAAATCAGGTTTTTTTGCAATAAATAGTATCTTTTAATTTTTTCATTCAGTAACAATGCATTTTCTGATTCCCGACTTTTAACATCTAAAAATAATTTAAAATTAAATTCTTTATAAATATGATTCAACCTCGCCCCCTCCCCCTCCTTCATAGTACTTCACCTTTTTTATCCCTAAAAAGGTTGGTGGCCTAAAAAGGGTCTCTATAGATCTTTTTACCCCTTGAGTTATAGTGTCCGAATTAGATTTGAGTGATAGTAATCCAGGGATAAACTTCTTCACATATTTTAGATAAGATTTAACTCTTTTAAATTTTTAAAGAAACGCCAAAAAATAATACTTTTTTAAAACAAAATGTTTTGAATTTAAACCTTGTGGGTTCCGGTGGTCTAGCAACTACAAATATTAATATGAAATCTATGACTTGCGTAATTTTCCTTCTTCCATCATTTATTCTTAGATAAACATTTATAAGATAAACTTCTCATCCCCCCACACTCTATATTCATCCAGTATTCTCATTCATCCTCTATATTCATCCTACTTTTCTAATTCATCCCCTCTATATTTATCCTAGTATTCTTATTCATCCTGTCTATATTTGTCCTAGTATTCTTATTCATCCTCTCTATATTCATCCTAGTATTCTTATTCATCCTCTCTATATTTATCCTAGTATTCTCATTCATCCTCTCTATATTCATCCTAGTATTCTTTTTCATCCTCTCTATATTCATCCTAGTATTCTTATTCATCCTCTCTATATTTATCTTAGTATTCTTATTCATCCTCTCTAAATTCATCCTAGTATTCTTATTCATCCTCTCTATATTCATCCTAGTATTCTTATTCATCCTCTCTATATTTATCCTAGTATTCTTATTCATCCTCTCTATATTCATCCTAGTATTCTTATTCATCCTCTTTATATTTATCCCAGTATTCTAATTCATCCTCTCTATATTCATCCTAGTATACTTATTCATCCTCGCTATATTCATCCTAGTATTCTTATTCATCCTCTCTTTATTATCCTAGTATTCTTATTCATCCTCTTTATATTTATCCCAGTATTCTAATTCATCCTGTCTATATTCATCCTAGTATTCTAATTCATCCTCTCTATATTCATCCTAGTATTCTTATTCATCATCTCTATATTCATCCCAGTATTCTAATTCATCCTGTCCATATTTATCCCAGTATTCTTATTCATCCTCTTTATATTTATCCCAGTATTCTAATTCATCCTCTCTATATTCATTCTTGTATTCTCTCTCATCCTCTCCATATTCTTATTCATCCTCTCTATAATTATCCTAGTATTCTTATTCATCCCTCCATATTCATCCCAGAATTCTCATTCATCCTCTCTATATTTATCCTAGTATTCGTATTCATCTTAGTATTCTAATTCATCCTCTCCATATTCATCCCAGTATTCTCATTCATCCTTTCTATATTATACA